CCCCAAAACCCCAAAACCCCAAAACCCCATAGTTTATTTATGTAGATAATTTTGAGTGTCGAAATAATGAAATTAATAATTATATTGATGTTGATAATAGATCAATCAAGCATTGTTGATCATTGTTTCAATCATCTGCTTGCCAGTAATAAAGTTAGCATTTATATTCTTAAACGACAGAGACTTAACTAAATACCTGTTTTTAGTCTCAATCTTGCACTCCTCACAAAATACAATTGAATCCTTAGACTTTGGATCTGAATGCTTGCTAATACAATCATGGCAAATGCAATGTCCACACACTAGCATTAGACAATCTTAGTAAACCTTAGCACAACTCAAGCAACTTATATGTATTTCTATTTTATCTAGTATCTTCTTCAGACTAGACATATCATTGACATAGTTGCGCCTCAAATCCTTTAGTTACATATTGTTCAAATAGGACTAATTCTCCAGTTCATTCTGTATTTTATTCTGCAATTCCTCTATCACTTTCATGTTATTTTATATATCTCCCTTAGCAATTTAGAGGTTGAGCTAGAGCTACCTGATCTAGTTATTCTTCTCACCTAATTCCTCTCGAAGCATTACATTTTTTCGCTCCAAGTCTTCTTGACTTTGCATTTTAGAACTTGAATTCTGTTCTAGTTCCTTGTATAGTGTAGATATTTCTTACTCAAGAGATTGCTACATCATAATATTCTTTGAGAATACTTACCTTGACATTCTACAGGTTTTTTATCTCTCCTTCTCTCTTCATTAGCATGTCACTTAATATTTCATTTTATTTCTCAAGTATCAATATTTTCTATAAAATTCATTAGTGTTCTAAATTACCTCTTTGTAAGACTATTTTTCAGACTCTAGCTCCCTCTGCTTGTCCAATAGACTTTTATGCAAAATGCTTATTTCATTCTTACATTCCTAGATCTCCTGATCTTTCACAAAACTTATCTTCTCCAAATCATCAATTATATTGTTTTTATTAAGCTCCATTTCTTCTTTCCTCTACATTAGCTCATTATATAAATCTCTTTTTTCATCCAATTTTTAAAGGTAATTTTGGCATTCCTTCTGCTTATCTTCTAACTTGTTCTTCCAATCCTCTATTTATAATTCTAACCTCCTTACCTATTATGAGACTAAAAACTTCTCCTCATCTTACTTTTACATTTTTTTGTCTATTTCCCTTTGCCAGAACAAGTCCTTTGCATTGCTTTCCTCTTTTGCTTACTTAATCATTGGTTCATATTCAGAAGTCAATTCATTCTTCACACGCTTAATGACCTCGGACATTGTTAAATTAGCCTCTGTTTTTTCGTCTAAGATCCTATTAAGTTATGAAACCTGTTACTCAAGACTCTAGATGTTCTTATCCTTTGTTTTTAATTCATGGTTTTACTCTTTTATTAAATCCTGTGATGCCACTAAATCACTCTTGCCCTATTCTACTTCTTTGTCTTTTTCTCTGAATAGCTAATCGAAACGAACTTCTACTTCAGCTATTTTTTTCTGCTTCTAAATAACCTCCTTCTTTAATGAATAAATTTCTTCCTTTTTCATTTCATTCATGTCTTTCAATTCCTTAATCTCCATGTCTTTTTTGTTATCGAATTCTGGACCTATTTAAAGCATGTTGAATTTATTCTAAAGATCCTTAAGCTAAAGATTAAGTCTCTCTTTATCTTTTTCCAAATCTTATATTCTCTTCATAGCTTGGTCATTTGATTATCTTTCATTCATACTTTGTGTTGATATTGCTTCAAAATTTCTCTTCAGCGCCTCATATTTTTGTTGTAATGACTGTATTTCAAGCTTTTAGATATAAACTGTTTTTCTTTACAGCTCTATCATCTCTTTGTCATTTTAAGCGAGTTCTTGAAGTTTTCTAAGTTTTTTTTCAGTGTCAACATTTACATGAGTAATTACGTTACTTTGCTAGATAATACTGCCGAAATCAGTTGGAGCATTTGTTAAAGATTGTTTATTATTAGCTTACTGCTGGTTACTGGGAGTACGATTACCATTATTATTACCATTAGTTGCAGATGGTAGTGTCTGTTACTTAATTGGAAGAGGAGATACTTCTTTATTACCTACTCTTTATCATTAAAGCTGCTATTGAACATTCATTTAAGAGAAAGATGATTGCTACTAAGTGCTAAATAAAGATGCTTGATTATTATTTCCAAAAGGAGGTAAAATTCCTTGAGTATTCTTAAGATTTATTGTATTGATAACTGAGCTTGTGAGAATTGTACCAGAATTCTACATATTTTAAATGCTTGAATTAAACCCTTCTCAGGTTGTTGACAAACTTGGCAGTTTGTTTAGTGATTTACTGCTCTGAATCTGATTTAATATAGTTTTATTTTGCACATTAGAGTAGGCCAAGTTATTTGATGATTGTGATTGCATTGTTTACTGACTCATTTCAATATAATTATTCTTTTAAAAACTAGCCAAATCTTAACTATTTTATTCAGGAGGGGTTTTGGGGTTTTGGGG